AAAAATTTATAGCTAATTATAAGACTATTTCCTTCCTCTACACACACACACACATGGCTAGAGGATTCCAGAACCCCACCTAATTTATTGAGTACAATTATATGCATGCCTCTTTTAGCTACACTACATGAAGTTTCAAACAAAGAGAAAAAAATGCAGAAGCAAGAGAGGCAAGAAAATATGATTATTGCTTTCTTTTACAGGACCCTTTTGGTAAAAAATTTGTCAGAACTCAGCCCAGTACGGAGGTCTTACCACTCAATGTACAGTGAATAGACTTGAATTCTGTTGATTGAATTCTGTTGATTGGAATGTGGTTTTCTGATAATCTTTTTCAGTGTTTTATTCTTCCTTATGACCATGTCTGCCCAAGCAAAATGATTCCCTTCTAAATGGGGCCCTATAGCCAAAATAATTTCTGATGAAATGTTATTAGAAAAACATAAAGCATACTTGCTCCTAAAAGTTGCTATCCTTCCTATACTTATTATGAGAATTTTCTACGTGTTTCGTAATACTTTTCTGATTCTAAATATACAACTCTTTTTATAGTATAATTTACATTACAAAATGGGTCTTATATTTAGAATCGAAGGAATAGAACATGTTTAGTTTGGAGTATTAATTTTTTTTTACCGAGTTTCACTAATTAATTATATAACTTCTTAATAAACTAACCAAACTTCTCTGGCTAATAATATTTGTTAAGGATAATTTTGACATTCTTTTACAAGAAATAATTGATTTTACTTAACTTTCTTAGCTAATGCAAGATAGTTAATTGGAGCTTATAAAAAGAATTAGATAGAATAATTAGTTTAGTTAATACGTATAAATTAGAACATGATTATAATTTGATGCAAACATATATAAGAATTTGTAAGTACGATTATACTACCTTCGGTCCTATTTATAAATCTCGTTTATAGAGATCTTATAATTAGGACCGGATAAGATCTCGTTTATAGACTAAAAACAAGATCTTATAATTAGGATCGGGAATAGTATTATACGTACTCTTTGATTATGAGAGTTGTCATGAATCTAATAGACCCTCATACTTTACTTGCTTTTTTTTTTCCTGTTTATTTGTTTTAAAAGAATGGAGTAATGATTTTTATTATGAAAAGAAGATATCTTAGCCAGATTATATACGGATAAGCTAAAGGTCCGTTTTGTGTGAGGAAAATAGAAGCGAAAAGAGAAAAAATTTTAATGAGCCCGTTTTTAAAAATTAAAAAGAAAGAGTTAAAAGTTTTTAATTAACTTTCATTACTATTTTATCTTACATTTTTTTATTAAATTTATATTTTTAAATTGAACTCATTAAAATTTCTTTTTCTTTTTTTCCCGTCCTTTCCCTCATCCATAAATGTAACTAGGATTGAGCATTTATTTATGTCAAAGGAAGGATAAACAAGAACCAGGCATGGCCATACTGAAAGGATGAAGTCATTTGAAATTAAATATCTTGAGAATTATTCCAAGAAATAATCGGGAGAAGTATGTAGCACCGACACTCATCAAAGCGTGTTTTTAAAATTTCAAATAATGTCAGAAGACACAAACTTGATTCATGTGATAATGCTTGAAATTTACGAAAGAAGGAAAAGGACAAAACATTGCAAAACAATAAACAGAACGACGCATGGAAGAGAACCATGTTTTGTAGGATTTTCTTTTATTATTTGGAGTTTTTATTGAGGAGGGATTTCAAGCCCAAACAACGCCCAACCCAAGCCCGATTTGTAAACTTGGGCTCATTAGAATTCAACTCTGTTTTTAATCATGAATTATGATTATTATCTTGTTGCTATGTATAGGCATTTTTTTTATTAAAAATAATTCTATTCGAAATACTGTCAGACATTAAGTATAGATACATTTCTTAACAAAATTTAAATATTGATTTGCTATGTTATAAGAGACTATTCCCTGACGCGAGACTTTGATATGAATCCAGATCTAGCCCACATTCTCATTATTCACAATATCATTTTCCCCTTTTGATTGCATTTTCTTTTAATTTTTTTTAAATAATTACATAATATTAGATATTATTAAATCACATTCAAATAATATGGTTAGAGCTAGTTGGAGTGAATTCAAACTCTCAACTTTACTCTTTTTTTTTTTTGGCCGAACTCAACTTGTTTAGAATTAAGTTCTCAGCTCACTCAACCATTATAGATTTCCTGTGAATGCATCTTTTTTACCCACAGTCTAGTCATTTTGCAAGTCCTTGTGCTTTTTCCCAACCCATCGGCGTGTCTTTTCTCTTAATTAAATATATTAATTTTACTACGGTAGTACCGTTAATTCTATAGTTTTGCTCTGTTAGAGCTATTAGCCATTGTACAAAATCTAATGATGCTAACAGAACAAAATTGAAATATTTAATTGAAAGAAAAAAAGGAGCTAAATTAAAAATAAAGAGAAAGTATTAATAATTGCAAATTGCAATATAGTTTTTCTTACATTTTAAGTAGACTAAATTTTATATATAAAACCTCTATAAACTTTATATGACATGTAAATAACTCCCATAACCTTTGAAACTTTATTATCATACAACAACTTATTGCTTGTTATTTGTTTAAAAGTGCTTAAAGCTTGAGTGTCTCTCGACATATAACTCACTTTGAGGAATTCTTATGCGCTCAAAAAAAAAAAAGGATATAAAATTAATAATTTAGGTTACTTGCATAAACTTGTAAGTTTAGGAGATTTATAATCAAATTTTAAAGATTAAGGAAATTATTTATACAAGGTTCTAAACTTATAGAAGTTTCGTATGGTCGTCTTTTCACATGTAGAGAATGTAATTTGACGCCTCATCACTACCCCAAAAAATTTACTATTTGTGGTGTTTTCCAAAAAGGACATGGGCAAAAGAACAAGTAAACAATTACTACTTCTTATTTTTAATATAAAATATAATTAGTAATTCAATGTTATATTAAGAACCAGTGGTAATCTTAGATATAAATCCCATCCCCTATCATACTCTGTATTCTTGTGTGATCTTCTCTCTAACTCCATGATTGTAATATAAAATGATTTATTTTCAACAAAGAATATGAGCACGAAATAAATGCTTCAAATCATTCCAGATTCTCAACTTGCAAGGGATTATTTTAGAATTTGATCAATACACCTCTTTAGTTTACCCCTTAGTTCTTCCAGCGTATGCCCATATTGACAATTTATTTGGGGGAATAAATAGGAATAAGCCAAAACCATGTTTTGGTTGAAGTAATACCCTGTTGACTTCGACTTGTTCCGACATTTTTCCAAACACACTTTAATCAAATATGAAAACATATCAAAGGTTAAAGTGCAAATTTGCTTCAAAAACTTCCACTCAAGAGTGTTGCATAATTGAAAGTTTTTTCGATGTAAATTTTTTCTGAAAATTTAAAATCATACTAATATTACCTTGCACCATTAAAAATTAACATTGATCATTAAGACAGTAATGTTGACCGTTAATATTTTTATCGATAAGGGACACTATGATTTTAAATTTTTGGAGCAAATTTAAACCCAAAAATTTTCCAGATACCCAGTATTCCTGTGTAAAAACTTCGGCACGCATTTACCCCTTAACTCAAATATTAATAATAATATACTTGAGAAACTTATGTACCATATAATATGACACGTGCTGCCTGACTGCCTTATAAGGAGTTTTATCATCGATGTGAGAATCTTGATACTCTAGAGTCCGCTGAGAACCATGAGACCCATAAAAATTCAATATTAGAAGGCTAAGCTCCCTTCCTCAGAATAATTGTTCACGTGAACTTCCTTCCATCATTTTAGGCAAAAGAAATCAAAATGGACATAATTATCCAATTGATCAGATATTAAGAATATAATGGATTAATTATACTGGTAAAAAAAAGTTAGTTATTTGTAAAAGATACAATTTTGTTTTTCTAGAATACCTTTTTAGTCATTTATTTACAAATTACATTAGAAGTTACTCTGTTAATGAAAACAACTTTAATATACATAATTAACAAGAATAATTTAGAAAAAATTATAAATTTAAAAAACAAAATGAATTTAGATCGAAAACTCTCAACTAGTTCCTACATTTAAAAGCAAAAAGTAACTTAAATCCGCATATTAACTTGTCAAATCTAAAACATAAATCTAAGAAATTAAACTAAGCCTGAACCAAGCATTTTAGAGTACTTTCAAAACACACCATATATAATAACTAAACAAAAAACACACACACACACACCCACATGTTTTGGCATCACACAGCATAGGCTTGTTAAAGCTAATCTGCTACAGTCTAAATTAGCTTGAAAGATGCGGTATAATTGTGATGGTGCGTTATAACAAAGACTTAGCATTTTAAAATGCAGCATTTGATGCTTTCAAGGTAAAAAAAGGTAGCTGTAACTTTCCAAATTTATGACTTAGATTTGCCAAGTTAATATGTAGGATCCACTGATCCGCATAAAAATTTAGAACATTGAATGTGTCGAACACCTCCTCAGCTTTATCACTAATTCATAGCCGTATATACTACCTATAATTTTTAATATTAGACTCAGTAGACAAATTTAAAAAAACTTAAAAAAGCTAAACATATTACTTAATTATAATATACTAACTCCGGTCTTTAGTATAACAGTTAATTTGATAATGGCAAAAAAAAATAAATAAATAAAAAGAGTAAAATTTCAATTCACTTTGTATCTTATATTTATACACGTAACTAACAAGGTATTTTAACAAATATAATACTTATTTATTATAAATAACTCTCTTAATAAATTCTCTTAATTTATTTAAATTAGTCAAACTATGAGTAGAGTAAGAAGAAGAGGAAGAGGAGGCAGTATTTAGGTTATTTCTTTGAAATACATGCGTATCAACTGAGTCTTTCAGGAGGTAGTATAATGCAATATCACATTGATTTGATCATATTCCTCCAACGTTAAACGGAAGACGTTCTTGTTTGATAGTTAAGAAAACACTTCTGGGAATCACAATCTTTAGATTCCTAAGATATGCGTTCATCAGTTTGGATGGATACATGACGAATAAGATACAAGAAGCAAATTAATTTAAGCCACATTGTAAGTATGAAATGAATATCCAAGAGAACTATGCATAGCTTATAACATTACCAGCCGCAAAAAAAAAAAAAAAAAAAAGCTTATTGTCTATAATAAAATTGGAAATCTTACATTCACAGAATACATACCTTTTGGGAAAATTCTAGAACCCTTTAGGCCCAGATTCCTTCAAAACGACAGGCTTCTCTGCCATGGCGAGGCAATACTTGGCGATTTCTCTGAACTTAGGGACGCTTCTCAGGTCAACCTTAGTCCCATCCTTGAGAGTAATCACTACGTCGCCCCACTCGCCGATGAATCTGGGCACCACCTGAACGTCCTTAATCACCTTGTACGAGAAATCGCTTCGGTCCTGACCCGTAAGACCCGAAATCACTGTGACCCGGAGGTTGGTGAACCGGTATCTGAGGTAGAACGCCCTGGAAACCGCGGCGAGGGTTAAGGGCAACCATAGGAGAGTGAAACCGAGAAGGAGGTTGGCTAGGAGGTCCCCATAGTGGGCGCCGCCGTCAAAGAAGACGGTTTCCCCGGCGGGTTTTTTAGGGGCTGATGGAGCGGCTGCGGCGGACTTGTTGGTCGGAGAGGACACGTGGAGCCTCGTGAATGGCCGGAGGGATTTCGCGATGGGCTTGGAAGAGAAAACAGGGAAGAGAGAATTGGAAGAAGATGGAAGAGATTGGTGCGTTACGGCGGCGGAGGAGGGTGAGAGTAGCGGAGTGGACGCCATGCCTTATCCGTATGAACTAAACAAGCTGGGGTGCGAGGAGTCATGAGAGCAATTGATGTCGGTGGTTGGCCATGATTAAGGCACGTGGCAGATTCTTAGTGACAGCATGTTCCCGTCCGTAGGCAGAAAGGGCTAAACGCCCCCCATAGAATAGAACTAAAAATTGCTTTTTTGACCGGGAACTAAAAATTTCTACCCATACACATATTAGCATATTTGATTATATTTAAAATTTTAATAAATTATATTATTTAAGATAATTGAATATTTTCTTTTAATAAAAGTATATTGTTTATTCTTTTTAATGGAATTTGAATTAGAGATACTAAATTTATAGGGAGTAGATGAAAATTTGAAATTATTCATTTATTTTTTTTCATTTATGCCTCCAATTGGCATATTATTTTAATTATGATATTTTCATTTAATTTAATATATTCAAATCCTAATTAAGATACTATTTAAATTCAAAATCAATTATTAATTTCTTTATTTGAGCCTCTATTTGAAATTGCATTTATTTATAATGTTTTCCATTTAATTCAATATATTTAAATCTCAATCAAGATGTTATTTAAATATCATTAATTGTATATATTGAGATCTCATAATCTTATACCCGACCCATTTTTAAATGAATCGGGTGTTACAAGTTTTTAAGAATATAGTTAATGAGTACTGGTGAATAGTGATTTAGCTATCCTCTTGAAGGGAAGGACAGTTGTCCGCGCCTAAAGCCCACCAGGACCTACTAAATTTTTTTTTGAAAAGTCCAATGAGCATAACCTCCTCACTTCATCACATCACAAAGGCATGCAATTATAGGGGGAAAAAAAAACAAAAGCATGCAAATAGCCTGAAGGAATAAACATTATCACTCCTGTCCTAAACATAAATTACTTATAGAAGGAGGTTATGGTACTAAATGTAAGTTGTTTGTAGTATGTTTAAGACTTGTGATGTAGGATGAGGAAGGGAAAGAGGGAAAGGAGAGATAGAGAAAGGGAAAAAAGAGACTAGAAGAGGAAGGACAAGAAGAAATGAGGGAGAAATCAAGCGAATAAAAGAAAAAGAAAACTCAAAGAAGGAGAAACTTATATAATAATATGTTTATTTAAATCATAAGGTGTACAAAACAAATAACTTGAGGTACTATTTATAAGCCTTGAGATCAACTTAGAAATTAATGATAAAAAGCTTTAGAATCTTAAACTTGAATGCAAATAATAATTAAAAGATAATAATTAAATTAAAATTAAACCAAATATTCCTTAATAATGATAAATATCCTAAATATATGAAAATTCTAATTAACCATGATTCCATATCCCATCATTTCTTCCTTTTTGAAGAATTTGACTCCTGATGAGTTAAAAGAGAGGCACAAATTTAGAGAGGAAAGGGTGAGAGTCCATATGACGGTTCGATCCAGAAATCCTTTTTAGCAAGTGAGATGACAAAAGAGAAAACCACGAGAGGCATCAGCAGCTTAAGTAAACCCTTGCAACATCTCAACTTTTTATGACTTAGATTTAACTACAGTATAGATGACAAAAAGGATATATTGAAATTCATGAGAAAAATTATATGTTTAGTGTATTATATATATAAATATAAATAAATATAAAATAAAATGTTTTTTAAAAAAAACTCTTCATATGTGTTATATATGACATTATTACTACCCCAGCTTTGTTATATTTATTAGGAATGAATTAAGTAGTTATTGCAGATAAAAGATAATTAGAAATATTTAAGATCATCAAAGATGAGGATAGATCATTATGAAGCCACTTAGTAATTATCTAATCATATTTTAAATTTTAGTTTGGATAACTTTTAAAATCAAAGCATTTAGATTTTAGTTTAATTTACGAAACAAACAAAATATATGACTAAGACAAAATCATATTTTAATAATCTAATAGTGAAACACTTAAATCTAGATCCTATTTTTCTTTCCCTCCTTCTTACCTCCTCTCATACATGCCACCTCCACATCTCACTTTTGTTTCTTTGTTCCTTTTTTGTCCATCAATTGCACTGATGGCTAATACTTTTTCTTCCTCAATCAATATTGATTGCCAGCCATGTTTCTTTGCACCTAAAATATTATTCCTTTTTTATTTCTTTCATTCCATGATGCATAATTAATCTCACAACTACAAACCTTCGCTTCTCGTCAGTTGTCCCTTGCTCTCTCATAAATCACATGATAAAGTTTCCTTGATCCAGGTATACTAACTTTCACATTTTAAAAGTTTAGTTACACAATTTATCTTTTTATGTGTCATTGCAACTGAAAGTCAATACACACACACACTCAAGTGACCATTCTCTCTCCATCATGTCAAAAGAAAACATGGCCTTTCAAATATTTTCCTAGAGCAAACTCCTTTTATCACATCATGTAAAGCAGTCACCTTTATTTTTCTTCAAGCCCTAATTAATGATTTATGCCACAAGTTTTGTATTAGGCTTTGTGGATGTGCTCCTTTATTTATTTGTAAAGCTCATAAATTGATATCTTGAATGATACACACACACACACAAACACATGACATGATTCAGGTAGTAAGAACAAGTTATACCTTATATAATTAATTCTATATAAAAAATAAGTTATAATAATTGTAGAGGTGTTTGATTATATATTTATTCTAATTTTAAATAGTATATAAATGAATAAAAGATTGCTTTATTTATGAATTGAAAAAAAAGAAGGAAACATATAATAATTTATTATAAATGCTTCCATTTTTATATGAAAGGTGAACTTCCCAATAAATATACATATATAAAATATCATGAATTTAAATAAAGACTAAGATTTATAAAATTTGCATTGTGATAATATAACATTTTTTGGATCTTCTAGAGTAACTTGAAAATATTAGGATAGCTTTAGGATAATTCTTTGGATTATTATCTAGCAGTTTTAAGTTTTAAATTAATTCCTTTGCAAATGTGTAACCTTTAGACCCTTACCAAAAGCCTTATTGCTCAAGATAAGTTGTTTAACTACTAAAGAGTTAAAGGAAATCATATAACCCAGAATTTTTCTATACGTACGCAAACATGTTTGTTATTATTGAATATATAGTGATAAACATATAAAATATTGTTTAGTTACATGTGATACAAGTACACAAGTTATTGAGACTATAAAAGTGTGAAAGAAATTGATATGGATGTATTATTTCTCATTGTTATTTAATTCTGTTAAGCATGCTCTATATGTGTGTAGATATAAGTATGTGAATGATGAAATCATATGTAGTTTATCTCTTTTAAGCATGCTTGTATGTAGTAGAATTGTTGCATATGCATGACGTGCATTAGTAGTTGGCTGGAGAGTTTATGATACTGATTTATATGAGATGCTATAACCACATAGTTTGCTTCCACTATGCACATAGTGGTTAGCTTTTTTAAGGGCTCCATTCCTTAATACATATGAGGCTAGGTTTGTTGAGAGCAAATATGGGACTATGACACCTCCTGGTTGTTTTCTTTAAGAACAAGAGCTATAGTCTAAGATTGGGCCTTGTACTCTTAGCCAAGTGCATCCTGAGTATTAGAGTAACTTTGGTCGGTACAATGCATAGGCCAAATCATAGATAAGCCTATGGTTCTAGTCAGCAAAATAAAATTAGATGGAGCAATAAGAGAGGAAGCATCCATTACATATACATATGTTACACTTAAGATTACTGCGAA